CCAATTCATTTCTTGGAATGAAGAGCTCCGAGTCATTGCACCATTGGAATAGCATCCTCTTGGCAGATCCACAGTCTTTGCCAAAGCAAGCAGCCATCAGCTTAATCCAATCATCATCACCTGCAGCTTTTGGCTGTCCCCTTAGCTATTGTGGAATTCTGCGGTTGTCCAGTCCAAACTGAGAGGCTCCTTCTGCTGTTCCCAGAGGGATGCTCCCCATTTCTCAGTGAGGGGCAGGGGGTGCCTCGGGTCTGCAATGCTGCTAACCTTGGCCTTACTGGCTCACTTCTTTCTCTTTAATTATTAGCAGCCTCGGATTCACTCCTCTCAAGTGATTGATTTCCTGGCCTGGTGCCTGGGCCCAAGAGTCCCTGGAAATTACATCTGGAAGTTTCCTGAGTAATCCCAGTGATCCGTCAAGAAAGGCATTCTGCACATGCTCAGAAACAGATGGTTCAGAGGAAGCAGCTCTGAGACTGGGCGTTTAAATGAGTCTAGAGCCTGTCCCATCCCAAACGTACCTCCCCCCCCTCTCAGAGCTTTACTGGGTTCTCCCTCTGCTCCCCTTCCTCTTCTTTCTTTCTTAACTGGCAGGTGCTACGCCTCTGTTCGTGGTTCCTCCGGATGGTGCTGGGCTCTATCCTCTTGACTCACGAGGCAGCCGAAGGACACTGCTGCTTGCTCCTGGAGCTAGTGGCAAAGATCATGATGATGATGACTCCGTCGGCGTGAGACTGCTGAGAAAGGCGCTCTTTCCTGGTCAGACGCCCCCGCCACCCTTGGCCCGCTTGCCCTTCGCCGCCCTGTCTCTTCCCCCTACCTGCTTTGCCAGATGGCCTGCCAAGCCCTACAGACATGGACACGCGGCGGGTGGATTTGATGTGATTTGGTTTGATCTGGTTGTCCATAAAGGCGCATCGGCTGTGTTTATAGTGGTCACGTGGGGTGATCTGTCGCCCACATTTTTTACTTTTTTAAAAATTTTTGCTGCGTGTGCTTCGGCTGGATTGGGAAGCAGCCGTCGCAAGCCTGAATCATAAGGTTCTCCCCCCCCCACGTCCGCCCCGCACCTGATCGTGACGATCAATCCAGAGAAGGAAGCAGCAGAAGCTAACCGGCAAACCCTAAAACGGAGAGAGGGGACGGACCCTGCGAATGGGACTTCAAGGCTTATCGGGGAACCGAACTGGAGGTCGTGTGCGAGGGTGGGAAGAAGGTGTGGAGAGAAGGGGGGGGGTCTGGCCCAGCTGAGCAGCTTCCCTTCGCTCCTCTCCGGTGAGCGCGTCCTCCCCTCATCTTCCTCCTCCTCCTCCTCTCCAGCCTTTAATGCAGCAGATGGACGCAGAGGCCAGCAAAACGTGACCCGCGGAAAGACGCACAAGCCGGTCTCCGGCGCCTTTCGCTTGTTTGTCTTGGGGAGTTTGTCTCAATCCATCCTCCTTTCCTAATCTGTCAAATAAACTGGCGCTTCCCTCCCTCTCTCTCTCTCTCTTTCCCCTCTGGAC